GTAATAGTACATGGATTAAAGATTAACTTCCGGGAGAGAAGGTTATGTGCTTTTAGGCAAAAGATAGAAAAGTATACAGAAGCTATGTGACTTCTGGCAGAAGGCAGTTTTTCTTGAAACTATTGAAAATACTGCTATATAGAAGCCTAAAGTCTTGTAACATTTTCCCTAAATTTTGCAACCCTGTCACTCCTAGCCAAGTAGCCATGGTTTCTCACCTGTCAATGAGGAAAATATCAATGGCCTAGGACTGCAGAGATTAAATAACAGTAATGAATGTAAAGGGCTTATTTAGTGTAGTGCTCCTGATATATTAGTAAGTTCAATAGATGGTTACTGTTACCATTATCACTGTGTTAAGTATAGGAATGCAGCAGCACAGGCACACTTGAGTCCTGCACTCTCAGAATTTATTGTCTAGCATGGAAGGCTGGCATTAAATAAGTGATTATAACTATAGGGGCCAAGGAAATACTTTCTCTTTGCCCTCTGAAGGTTCACTGAAAAATCAACTGACAGAAGGCAGATTAGCAAGAGAAAAGACATACAAAATTTATTTATTTATTTATTTATTTATTGCAGTTTTTGGCCCAGGCTGGGTTTGAACCCGCCACCTCTGGCATATGGGGCCAGCGCCCTACTCCTTTGAGCCACAGGCGCCGCCCCATACAAAATTTATTTTAATGTGCAAAACATGGGGCTATCTCAGGTAAATAATTACCCAACAACCCAGTGGGGTACAGATGTTTATATACTCTTCTTTATGGAGGGGAGAGGAAGATGGGAGAAATGAGGCGTTTTGGCTTAGAGAACATGCAGCAGCCTGGGACAAAGTGTTGGGCCCACAGAGCGGACAATAATTTGTGACAAGTCTGTCCGAACATGTTAACAAGAGTTCAGTCACTTTAGATCAGGGACTTGAGGCAGATAAGGGATGTTCAGAGAATAGGCAGGGTGTTGGGGGATGGGAAGTCAGTTGATCAATGGGACCTAGAGACTGCTTCTTCAGCATGTCAAAGTGCCACTTTGGAGAGTATAGATTTCTGAGCCCCAAGACAATAAAACATGATGAATATTAGGTATAGGTAGGATATAAGAGGAACATTTGGCTAGGGGACCTAACCCAGGGCTGGGGTTGGAGAAAGTCTGTCAGAGAAAACAGTATTCTACTTTGAGATGGTATGTTGATTTTAAATTGAGAGTAAAATTCCCTGGGTTAACGTTGGATGTTATTGGAGCATTGGTGTGTGCGATTGCTACCATGCCTCTTTCCTCCCGGTCATCAGTTTTCAGAGTATTTCATTCAGATCACCTGGCTCATGTGAGTGTTCAGTAAGTGTTGAATTCAGTCGAATAAAAAGGGTTTGGTTTGAGGGTCAGGTATGGCAGCTCATGCCCTGTAATCCCAGCACTTTGGAAGACTCAAGTTGGAGGATCACTTGAGGCAGTCAGGGTCTGCCTTGGCAACATAGCAAGAGCCTATCTCTAAAAAAATTATTTTTAATTAGCTGGGCATGGTAGCATGTACCTGAAGTCCTAGCTACTTGTCATGCTAACATGATACGATTACTTGAGCCCAGGAGTTTGAGGTTATAGAGAGCATGATCACC